ATCCTACCTGGCCCCCTGCGCCATTGAGTACGTCCCTAGCCGGCCCCGTGTGCCGTCGCGCCCATCCTAGCCGGCCCTGCTCGCCGTCACGCCTGCTCCTAGCCGGCCCCTTCTCGCCGCCGTGGCCGTTCCTCCCCTGAGCCGTCGCGTCCTCTCCTAGCCGGCTCCTCGTGTCGCCGTGCTCGCTCCTAGCCGGCCCCCTTCGTGCCCGTTCCTTACCGGCCCCTCGTGCCCGCCCATCGTCGGCCCCTTGCCCGCCCCTTGCCGACCCCTCGGCGTCCGCCGTCCGACCGTCTGCCGCCGGCCCCTAGCGTCCGCAGTCATCGCCGGCCCCTCGCGTCCGCCATCGTCGCCGGCGCCTCGCGTCCGCCGTCCGCCGGCCGGCCCTAGCGTCCGCCGTCGTCGCCGGCCCGCTTCGCTTCGCCGCCGGCCCGCCGCCGACTCGTGCCCGGCCCGTTCTTCCCGACCAGCACCGCCCTACAACCCCCCTGATACCGCACTGCACCGCTTTGCACCGCACTGTACCGCTCTGCACCCACTTTGCAGCGCACTGCACCGCTTTGCACCGCTCTACATCGCACTGCACCGCGCTACACTGCACTGCACGCGCTGTACCGCACTGCACTGCACGGCGCCGGAATGCACCCGGCACTGCACCGCTCTACACCGCCCTGCATCGTTCCTGATGGCGGAGGTGCTTCGCTTTGAATGCTTTCCTTCACCTTGGACTCTGGCGCTTCCCGGTGTTTCTTCCGTGACTCCACCACGCTGACGACGCTTCCTGTTCCTGCTGCAGTTTCTCTTGCTGACCCCTCCTCCGGCCCTGTAGTTGCCCACAGTTCCACCACCCTTCCCTGTCCGGCGGTTCCTTTGAGCTCTCTCACAGGTCTGCACATCCCCTCGTTCTCCAGGAACCTACTTGGTGTCGGCTGCCTCCAGGACCTTGGCGTCACCACTACGTTCCCTGGTCACAAGCGGTACGCTGTCTGTACCGAGGCCGCCACTGGTGCCCCCCTTACCACGTTCCCACGGGACCCGGTGTCCGGCCTTTCACACTGGACACTGTGACTTCCCCGGCTGGGACGCCCCTCAGGTGGCAGCGTCTACTCAGGTTGCTACTGCCTGCTCCTGTCGGTCACTCACTCACCTGACCCTCCTTTGCACCACCGCCTAGGTCACCCTGCGCTCCCGTGTCTGCGTCACATGTCCCAGCACGGTCTGTCCTAGGCCTCCCCGGGTCGTTCCCCAAGTTTCCCTCTTCCCCAGCCCCACCTTGCAGCCTGTGTCGAGGGCCGGCGTCCGCCGTGCTCCTCACTCCTCCTCGTTTCCCCCTACTTCCGCACCGCTACAGAATCTGCACCATGGACGTCTGGGGCCCCGCCCCCGTCCATGAGCCGCGTCGAGAGCGCTACTTCCTAGTGCTTGTCGACGACTACACGCGCTACACCACTGTGTTCCTTCTGGAGCGGAAGGCCGACGTGCCTGACGTTCTCATCCCGTGGCTTGTTTCTGGGCATGTCCACCGCGGTCTCCCTGTCTTGCGTCTCCACTCCGATCGTTGTGACGAGTTTGCCTCTGGTGTCCTTGGTCATTTCTGTTGTGCGGAGGGCATCACCCAGACGTTCACCTTGCCGGACTCCCCGCAGCAGAATGGGGTCGCTGAGCGACGCATCGGTTTGGTCATGGAGGTGGCTCGCACCTCCATGATCCATGCCGGTGCCCCCATTTTCTGTGGCCGTTCGCTGTTCGCTACGCCGCTCACCAGCTTAACCTCTGGCTGCACCCCCAGCAGCCGCAGGTTTCGCCGACCCTTCTTTGGTCTCGGTCACCTGGTGACGCGTCTGTGTTTCACGTGTGGGGCTGCCTTGCTCACGTTCGTACCTCTGGCACGGACAAGCTCAATGCCTGCACCCTTCCCTGTGTCTTCCTCAGTTTCCCCCCTTGACTCGTCTGACTGGCACTTCTACCACCCGCCGTCTCACCGGTTCTTTCACTCCCGCGACGTCACCTTTGATGAGTCCGTCTCCTTCTACCGCGCTTCCCCCCACGAGGTCCCCCGGTTACCCCCCCCTTGTTCCTGGTAACCCCTTCCCCGGTAGTCCCTGCCCCTCCCCCTCCCCCTCCCTTTCCTGCCCCCTCTGGTGTGTTCCACGTCACCCCCCTTACGTCGGTTGTCCCGGTTGAGGAGTCTGCTGACCCTGGTGGTCCTGCGGTGCAGTCCTCGCCGCCTGCCCTCCTCAGGTGTCTCCTCCTCCACCGCCTCCACAGCCGCCGTCGCCACCCCTGTCGCGGCCGTCTTCACTGCCGCCGCAGCCGTCGCCGCAGCAGCTCGTTGCCTCTGGGGGTGCTGGAGTTGGGGTGGGTACTAGTCCTGGGACTCCTGTCTTGGCTTGTCCCGGCGGGCCTGGGGGTGTACCGGTGCTCGAAGGGTTATGAGCTCTGGGGGTGTTCCTTCTGGGGGTGCTGGAGTGGAGTGTTCTGGAGGTAGCCGTCCGGCAGCTTGCGGTCTCGGTGTCGGTGTCGCACCGCCACAGCAGCAGTCCCCGCCGGGTGTCAGCTCTTCGCCTGCTCGGCCTTCCATCCCCTGACCCCGCGTCTGTGCCTCCTCCTCCTCTTGTCTACGGCCCTGTGTTCCCTCCTCCGGACTCGTCTCCGACTCGTTTCCCCCCTCGTTCCCCTCTTGTGTCCCCTCCTCTGTCTCCTCTCCCGACGCCTCCGTCTCACGTCTGGTCTCGCTGTCCCTCCCGTGCTCGACCTGTTTCCCCCTGTCTCGTGCTCTCACCCTATGTTGCTTCGTTCCCACGCGTCTCGTCCTCCCCTTCTCCCGTCGCCTCCTCCGTCCTCCCTTGTTGTTACGCCCCTCCCCTCTGTCTAACTACCTGCGTGCCGCTCGTCCTCTTGTTCCTCGGGGTCCTTGCCTCTCTCGTTACCGACCCGTCTGTTCCGGTTTCGTGTCTTGACGCTCTTGTCGCTGCGGTCGCTGACTTTGGCCTACCGCCGCCTTGACTACGCCACCGCTCTGGTCTCTAGCCCTGCCTGTCCTCCGTCTGTCGGGGGTGCTCCTTCCCTCGGCAGTAACGTCCTGGAGGACCGTCAGTACGAGCTTGCTTTCCTGTCCGAGGCTGCTCCCCATCTCTGTTCCATGCTTCTAGTCCCTGAGGGTGACCTCGACGCTTTCAACATCCCGACCACTCGCACTTACGCTGAGGCGAACTCGGGACCCTGGGCCTCTCAGTGCATAGCTGCCATGGACGCGGAGATGGCATCTTGGAGATCCACGGGCACCTACGCCGACGCAGTTCCCCCACCTGGGGTGAACATAGTCGATGGCCGCTGGCTCTTCAAGGTGAAGTGCCCTCCTGGAGAGCCGGCTGTGTTTAAGGCGCGCTACATGGCTAGAGGTTTCAGTCAGCGTGAGGGGGTGGACTTCTTCCAGACCGTTGCTCCGAACCCGAAGACGACTACCCTTCGGGTGCTACTACACGTAGCAGCTCAGCGTGACTACGAGCTTCAATCCCTCGACTTCTCTACTGCGTTTCTTCAGGGCAGTCTACACGAGCAGGTCTACCTGCGCCGCCCTCAGGGTTTCACTGGTACCTTCCCTCCTGGGACCCAGTGGCTCCTGCGGCGCCCCGTCTACGGCCTGCGACAGGCTCCTCGTGAGTGGCACGAGACGCTGCGTGCTACGCTTGCTGACCTGTAGTTCTTTCCGTCCTCCGCAGACCCCTCGCTCTTTGTTCGTGTTGGCCAGACTCCGTTCTACATCCTTGTTTACGTAGACGACCTGGTCTTCGCCATTGCAGACAGGGACGCACTGGCCTCCGTGAAGACAGAGCTGTTGAAGAGACGCACTTGCACTGACCTTGGAGAACTGCGTCATTACCTTGGCTTGCAGATCTCCAGGGACAGAGCAGCGCGCACCATCACCCTGACTCAGTCACACTTGGTGCGCCAGGTCCTTTAGAGGTTCGGTCTTCAGTTCTCCTCTGCACATCCCACCCCTCTGTCTGTAGACCACAGGCTCTCAGCTCCAGTTCCTGCGGAGTTGGTAGAGCCCAGTGGCCCTTATGCCGAGCTGGTGGGTTGCCTCATGTATCGGATGACTTGCACTCGCCCAGATCTCGCATACCCTCTCAGCATCCTGGCTCGCTTTGTGGCCACAGGCAGACACCGACCTCTGCACTGGTCTGCCGCTAAGAGGGTTTTGCGTTATCTTGCAAGTACATCGGGCATGGGGTTAGTGCTTGGAGGGCGTAGGCCAATGGTCCTTATTGGGCACACAGACGCTTCGTGGGCAGTCGACGCTGAGACTCTTACGTCCTCACAGGGCTACTGCTTTAGCCTTGGTTCAGGTGCTGTCTCGTGGAGAGCTACTCGCTCCTCGTCTGTTGCCCAGTCCAGCTGTGAGGCCGAGATCTACGCCGGTGCCATGGCGGCACAGGAGCTCCGTTGGCTGACCTTCTTGCTCACTGATTTAGGTGAGTGGCCTAGCTCTGCCCCAGTCCTGTACGCTGACAACTGGGCCATGATCCTCCTGTGTCAGGAGCCGCGACTCGAGGGCAGAGCGAAGCACATCCAGCTGCGGTACTTCCTCCTGCGTGAGCTGCAGCAGCGTCGCTAAGCCCGCGTAGTACAACTTGGCCTCCGGTGCCAACACAGCTGATATCTTTACGAAGGCGCTTGCGCCTAAAGATCATCAGCGGCACTGTGTACAGCTTGGTCTTGTTCCTGTAGCTTCTCACTTTCTAGGGCCTTGATTGTGTACAAACCTTATATATATATTATCCTGACTGGCCTTGTGGCCTCTCCCAGTGGCTGGACTAGTAGTGCCGCCTTGGTCTTGCTCTTGCCGTGCCTGTATTCCTTTGACTGGTCTTTAGACCCTTGCCTCAGAGGCTGGACTAGTAGTGCCGCCCTGAGCTGCTTCTTCTCCTGTTAGGCACTGCCCCTATATAGTCTAGGGGGTGTGTCAAATGTAACTTATATAGTTACTGTAAACTATATTGGACTGTGCCTTAGAGGGTACAACCCCTAGTCTGTATACCCCTGTATCCTTCTATTCTACTCACTACTCATTTTGATATATGGTGCATACCATATGTCTAATCCTCGCATCAAAGGGGAGAGAAAGAAGCAGCAAGTACAATAAATAACGTTTATTATGCATCATGAGGCAGGTGTACCTACCAAGTTATACACTGATTCACCAGTAGATCGACCTCATAACATGTTTCCGAGGCCATGGGTACCATTCACATCACCACTTCCGCCTGACGGCATACAGCCAGCAGCGGAAGAAGCTGCAGTATCAGCAGCAGGAGAAGCAGAGGCAGAACCTGCAGCAGTTGCCTTCTCGCTTCCCTGAAACCACCCAAGAAGGCCCCTACAGGTACCAGTACCATCCTGACTGCTCCCTCCATCCCCCTTCCCCCCAGCCTTGCTCTTTTCCCCACCCCCGCCCTTCCTCTTGCTCCTTCCTACATTGATGAAAGCAAATCTGTTGCGGTAGAAGCACCTCACGCCTCGGAACCAGTCCAGCCCTCCGGTCTCTTCTAGCGCCGCCACACGCACTGCCAGCACTAGCTCCCTCAGCAGCATCTGATCGTCCTGTGCACTGCAGAGGGGGAGAGAAAGAGAGAGAGGGGAGTGGGGGGGAGGAGGGGAAAGGGGGTTAAGCATGCTGTTGCGCTGGAAGCACCACATCTAATGGAACCAGTTTTTGAGTCGCCTAAAAAAATGCCCTCCGGTCTCTTCTAGCGCCGCCACGTGCACTGCCAGCTCCAGCTCCCTCAGCAGCATCTGATCGTCCTGTGCACTGTAAGAGTGGGGGGGAGAGGGGAGGGGGGGGGGGGATAAGAGAATCAGTTGCGGTAGAAGCATTTTACCCCTCAGAACCAGTTCAGCCTCCCGGTCTCTTCTAGCGCCGCCACGCGCACTGCCTTTTGAGGCGCCTCAAAAGTTTACCCCTCAGAACCAGTTCAGCCTCCTGGTCTCTTCTAGCGCCGCCACGCGCACTGCCAGCACTAGCTCCCTCAGCAGCATCTGATCGTCCTGTGCACTGCAGAGGGGGAGAGAAAGAGAGAGAGGGGAGTGGGGGGGAGGAGGGGAAAGGGGGGTAAGCATGCTGTTGCGCTGGAAGCACCACATCTCATGGAAGCACCACATCTCATGGAAGCACCACATCTCATGGAAGCACCACATCTCATGGAAGCACCACATCTCATGGAAGCACCACATCTCATGGAAGCACCACATCTCATGGAACCAGTTTTTGAGCCGCCTAAAAAAAATGCCCTCCGGTCTCTTCTAGCCCCGCCACGTGCACTGCCAGCACCAGCTCCCTCAGCAGCATCTGATCGTCCTGTGCGCTGTAAGGGTGTGCAGGGGGGAGGGGGGGAAGGGGGGGAAGGGGGGGAGTGGGGAGGGGGAAGGGAGGGTGTTCTGAGGCGCCTCAAGGTTTGACGTTGCCCCCAGCACCAAGTCCCTCAGGTCTCAGGAGCATCCGATCGTCGTGTGCGCTGTAAGAGTGTGAGGGGGGAAGTGGGGATTTGGGAGGGGGAAGAGAGGGGGTTCTGAGGCGCGTCAAGGTTTGACGTTGCCCCCAGCACCGAGTCCCTCAGGTCTCAGGAGCATCTGATCGTGCTTTGCGCCGCTGGAAGGTGAGAGGTTGAAGGAGAGAGTTGGGGGGAGAGGTGTGAGGGGTGTGTTGATGAGGTGCACAAAGGCACTGGCACCACCAAGTCCCTCTCAGGTCTCAGGAGCATCTGATCCTGCTGTGCGCCTCTGGAAGGTGTGAGGCAACACCTGGTAAGCACCTTTCACCAAGGCTTATATCTAGAATGAGAATGAGAGTGAGAGTGCGAGCGCGAGTGAGAGTGAGTGCGAGTGAGAATGCGAGTGCGAGTGAGAGTGAGAGTGAGAGTGAGAGTGAGACAGGCGGGTGCCTCCATCTTTCCCACACGCACCAGTCAGAGCTGGTCAACCAGCTGAGTATGTCCGGGATGCACTCGGATTGCAGCAGGCGCCGCAGCGAGTCCTCACGCTTCTTCTTCTCGGCCCGCACCAGCACCGACAGGTGGCGCTGGAAGGTCAGAGTGAGCTCCGCCATATTCATCTTCGCCTCCACGTACTCCACTCCCTCTCCCTCCTCTCCTTCTCCTCCTCCTCCTCCTCCTCCCTCTCCTCCTTCTCCTCCTCCCTCTCCTGTTCCTCCCACTCTTGCCTCTCCTTGCACCTCCCCCCCTCCCTCCCCTGCTCCTTGTTCTTCTATTCCTCCCTCTGCCCCTCCACCACCCCCGAGCCTCTCGAACTTCCCTCCTGCTCCTCCCGCCCCTTGCTGCTCCCACGATACCAGCCCCTGCACCTTGATGCTATCTGTCCTCGCCTGCCCAATCCCCCCATCCGCTATCCGTCTCCCCCCTCCTCCTCCTCCCTCTCGTTGCAACGGCAATGGCAGGGGGGATTCCTGTCCTCCCCCCATGTCGGTTCCCGAGCCTGAGACTCGGGAGAGGGGGGACGCCCCTGGCCCACCTGCTGCTGCTGGGGCAAGGGGCGACATGCCATGTATGGGGGACGCTCCCCCTAGGGGCGACATACCATGTATGGGGGACGCTCCCCCTAGTGGTGATGCGCCCTGTAGGGGCGAGGCACCATGCGCGCCTGACAGCGGCGACATCCCATGGATGGGTGAGGCACCAGCGTTTGCTGCTCCTGCAAAGGGCGACAGCCCATGTATGGGGGACATGCCAGCGAGGGGAGACATGCCAGCGAGGGGGGACGCTCCAGCGAGGGGGGACATGCCAGGGCCGGCCGAAGCACCACCTCCGCCAGCAGCATTCGCAGCAGCAGCAGCAGCAGCGGCGGTGGCAGCGGTGGCGTTGCGGCCAGAGGCGCTGCCGTCAAAGTCCCTGCTGCTGCCATGAGATGCCCAGCTCACATGCCTCTCTATCCTCGGCGTCCAAGGCGCTGCTGACAGCAACTGTGCCGACACTGCTGCTCCTGCTCCTCCTGCTCCTCCTGCTCCTCCTGCTCCTCCTGCTCCTCCTGCTCCTCCTGCTGCTCCTCCTGATCCTGCTCCTGCCCCTCCTGCCCCTACTCCCGTTCCCTCCCCCTCCCCGTCCACCGTCCCTGCTGTCCCCAGGAAGCAGCACTCCTCCCCTGCCGCATGCCACCGCCCATGCTCCCTGCAAAACCTCCCCCTTCTAGGCACCCTCGCTATGGTGATATGCCCCGCGCTCGCGCCCAATAAAGCCTGACTCAATACCGCGTACAGCTGCGGCTTGTTAAGGTGGCTCACCCAGTCAACTGGCGCCATACCCGCTAACTTACACGTCTGTACGCGATCCCGGACCTTAAGCAAAAGTTTCCGCTCGTGCGCGCGCTTAGTTAAGAGCAGCGGGAATATGACATGCGGGCGGAACCAGGCTGAGATCTCCTGCGGCGGGACTAGATCGTACGGGTCCATTTTGTCGTACTTAGCCTTGTTTCTCCGCCGCTCGACCTTCCAGACCCGATACAGCAGCTGCCGGTTGACTATCTCTAGGTCCTTGTTGATTGCTTCGAAGGTGAGTGCGCAGGCGGCGGGTGCGAGGATGAGGAGGGAGGAGAGGGCGAAGACGGCCTGGGAGAAGGCGGAGAGCTTGATGTAGTTGAAGCAGAGGAGGCCGAGAGTGAAGAAGAAGTGGCCCAAGGAGAGGAAGGCTTGTAGGTAGTCTAGGGAGAGTGAGGCGAGGGGCGAGGACTTGTACTGCGAGCCGATCCTCAGGGCCTGGATGAGCAGGATTATCACGATCTGGTGGGGGGGCGATGGGGGGCAAGGAGGAGGGGAAGGAGGGGAAGGAGGGGAAGGAGGGGAAAGAGGGAGGGATTATGAGGAGGGAAGGTGAGGAGGGAGGAGAGGGCGAAGACAGCCTGGGAGAAGGCGGAGAGCTTGATGTAGTTGAAGCAGAGGAGGCCGCGAGTGAAAAAGTGGCCCAAGGAGAGGAAGGCCTGCAGGTAGTCGAGGGTGAGCGAGGCGAGCGGGGAGGACTTGTACTGCGAACCGATCCTCAGCGCTAGAATCAGCAGGATAAGGGAAGGGGGAAGGGGGGCAGGGATAATCACGATCTGACTGGGGGGAAGGGGGGCAGGGAGGAGAGGAAGGAGGGAAGGAGAGGAAGGAGGGGAAGGAGGGAGCGAGTATGAGGAGGGAAGGTGAGGAGGGAGGAGAGGGTGAAGACGGCCTGGGAGAAGGCGGAGAGCTTGATGTAGTTGAAGCAGAGGAGGCCGAGAGTGAAGAAGAAGTGGCCCAGGGAGAGGAAGGCTTGTAGGTAGTCGAGAGAGAGAGTGACGGGAGGGGCGGCGACTTGTACTGCGAGCCGATCCTCAGGGCCTGGATGAGCAGGAGTATCACGAGCTGAAAAGGAGGGCCAGGGGGGGCCAAGGGGGGGGCCAAGGGGTGGGCCAAGGGGGGGGCCAAGGGGGGGGGGCGAGGATGGGGGGTTTGGGGAGGAATGAATGAGGGAAGGGGGGAGGAACAAGGGGAAAGCTGATTGGAGGAGCACGAAAGTGGGTTTTACCTGGGCGCGAGTGTCTTGCTGCAGGAACACGAGGATGAGCACGTGGAGCAAGTGTCTGCGCAACTTGAGGACGCCCCAATTTCGAGGTGTAGAGGTGTTGAGGTGTTGAGGTGTTGAGGTGTAGAGGTGTTGAGGTGTTGAGGTGTTGAGAGGCGCCTCAACAAATATGTGGCTCTCACCTGGGCGCGCGTGTCTTGCTGCAGGAAAACGAGGATGAGCGCGTGGAGCAGCCTAAGCAGCATGGTGACTAGATGCCACCTGCACGGGTGAGGAGAGAGGGGGGGGACCGTGGGACGAGAGGTGAGACCAATGAGAGAGACACACAGTCAGGAGCAGCCTGAGCAGCATGGTGGCCAGATGCCACCTGCACGGGTGAGGAGAGAGGGGGGGAACCGTGGGACGAGAGGTGAGACCAATGGGAGAGACACACAGTCAGGAGCAGCCGAGAAAAAAAACGACGGGTGTATCAAACAATATTTGAGGCGCCTCAAAAGAGAATTATTTCGGCGGGTTTATCAGTCTGTGAGCCACCCGACCGACTCGCTGCTCGAATAGGTTAGAAGAGAGGGCGTCGGAGGCATGGGCGCCGAGAAGACTACGAGGGAGATAATAAGGGAGAGTATAAGTGCGAGCGTCCACTGACTCACCACCAGAAGTTCCTTTTGTATCGCTCGGTGAGCCAGCCGAATCGTTGCTTGAATAGGTTAGAAGAGAGGGCGTCGGAGGCATGGGCGTCCAGCAGCACGTAGGCGAAGAAGAGGGGCAAACCCAGCAGGTAGACGAGGGAGACGATGAGAGAGACAGAGAACATGCCCACGTGGGTGGGCGAGAACCATGCGATCTGCGGCGCCGCTGCCATCAGCACCTCGCCTCCTATGGTCATTGACTGGAGGCACGGGTGTTGAGGGCGGGGGGAGGGGGAGGAGAGAGGGGAGGACGGACTATAAGCACCTCGCCTCCTATCGTCATTGAATGGAGAGAGGAGGGTGGGGGGGAGAGGGGGGGAGGAGGGGGGAAGTGGGGGGGGGGGGGGGGGGGGGGGGGAGAGTAAGGAAACACATGGGACCTTACTTGACCACATGGACAATGAATGTGCATTAGAGTCGACTCAGAAGCATCAACATGGACCAACAGCACATGTCCACATGACCAACAGCACATGTCCACATGGACCAACAGCACATGTCCACATGGACCAACAGCACATGTCCACATGGACCAACAGCACATGTCCACATGACCAACAGCACATGTCCACATGGACCAACAGCACATGTCCACATGGACCAACAGCACATGTCCACATGGACCAACAGCACATGTCCACATGGACCAACAGCACATGTCCACATGGACCAACAGCACATGTCCACATGGACCAACACACATGTCATGACCACACACATGTCCACATGGACCAACAGCACATGTCCACATGGACCAACAGCACATGTCCACATGGACCAACAGCACATGTCCACATGGACCAACAGCACATGTCCACATGGACCAACAGCACATGTCCACATGGACCAACAGCACATGTCCACATGGACCAACAGCACATGTCCACATGGACCAACAGCACATGTCCACATGGACCAACAGCACCATGTCCACATGGACCAACAGCACATGTCCACATGGACCAACAGCACATGTCCACATGGACCAACAGCACATGTCCACATGGACCAACAGCACATGTCCACATGGACCAACAGCACATGTCCACATGGACCAACAGCACATGTCCACATGGACCAACAGCACATGTCCACATGGACCAACAGCACATGTCCACATGGACCAACAGCACATGTCCACATGGACCAACAGCACATGTCCACATGGACCAACAGCACATGTACATGATCAACAGCACATTGGACCAACAGCACATGTCCACATGGACCAACAGCACATGTCCACATGGACCAACAGCACATGTCCACATGGACCAACAGCACATGTCCACATGGACCAACAGCACATGTCCACATGGACCAACAGCACATGTCCACATGGACCAACAGCACATGTCCACATGGACCAACAGCACATGTCCACATGGACCCAACAGCACATGTCCACATGACCAACACACATGTCCACATGGACCCAACAGCACATGTCCACATGGACCAACAGCACATGTCCACATGGACCAACAGCACATGTCCACATGGACCAACAGCACATGTCCACATGGACCAACAGCACATGTCCACATGGACCAACAGCACATGTCCACATGGACCAACAGCACATGTCCACATGGACCAACAGCACATGTCCACATGACCAACAGCACATGTCCACATGGACCAACAGCACATGTCCACATGGACCAACAGCACATGTCCACATGACCAACAGCACATGTCCACATGACCAACAGCACATGTCCACATGGACCAACAGCACATGTCCACATGGACCAACAGCACATGTCCACATGGACCAACAGCACATGTCCACATGAAACACACATGTCATGACAACAGCACATGTCCACATGGACCAACAGCACATGTCCACAAAAAACATGTCCACATGGACCAACAGCACATGTCCACATGACCAACAGCACATGTCCACATGGACCAACAGCACATGTCCACATGGACCAACAGCACATGTCCACATGGACCAACAGCACATGTCCACATGGACCAACAGCACATGTCCACATGGACCAACAGCACATGTCCACATGGACCAACAGCACATGTCCACATGGACCAACAGCACATGTCCACATGGACCAACAGCACATGTCCACATGGACCAACAGCACATGTCCACATGGACCAACAGCACATGTCCACATGGACCAACAGCACATGTCCACATGGACCAACAGTCAAGACACAGCACATGTCCACATGGACCACAGCCATGTCACATGACCAACAGCACATGTCCACATGGACCAACAGCACATGTCCACATGACCAACAGCACATGTCCACATGGACCAACAGCACATGTCCACATGGACCAACAGCACATGTCCACATGACCAACAGCACATGTCCACATGGACCAACAGCACATGTCCACATGACCAACAGCACATGTCCATGACCAACAGCACATGTCCACATGACCAACAGCACATGTCCACATGACCAACAGCACATGTCCACATGAAACAACAACAGCACAGCAATGTCCACATGGACCAACAGCACATGTCCACATGGACCAACAGCACATGTCCACATGGACCAACAGCACATGTCCACATGGACCAACAGCACATGTCCACATGGACCAACAGCACATGTCCACATGGACCAACAGCACATGTCCACATGGACCAACAGCACATGTCCACATGACCAACAGCACATGTCCACATGACCAACAGCACATGTCCACATGGACCAACAGCACATGTCCACATGACCAACAGCACATGTCCACATGGACCAACAGCACATGTCCACATGGACCAACAGCACATGTCCACATGGACCAACAGCACATGTCCACATGGACCAACAGCACATGTCCACATGGACCAACAGCACATGTCCACATGGACCAACAGCACATGTCCACATGGACCAACAGCACATGTCCACATGGACCAACAGCACATGTCCACATGGACCAACAGCACATGTCCACATGGACAACAGCACATGTCCACATGGACCAACAAAAAAACAGCACATGTCCACATGGACCAACAGCACATGTCCACGGACCATAACGGCTAACATTAATGTGACCCCACTCCAGCCGTGATTACCTTCAACACCGACTGCACGCACAAGTGCCATAGCCGGTAGTCGGACTCACCTTATGCGCTGAGAGCACGTGGAGCATCACTGACAGGCTGTGGTAACACACGCAGCACATGTAGCACTTCAACCATGGAAAATGGCGCATTCTTGCAGCTCACCTTGTACACCAAGAGCACGCGGAGCATCACGGACATGCAGCATAGGTCCAGGCAGGCAGAGCAGCACTCAACAGATCAATGTTGACTCATCAGCCTCCCTGGCTGTTGACTCATCAGCCTCCCTGGCTGTTGACTCATCAGCCTCCCTGGCTGTTGACTCATCAGCCTCCCTGGCTGTTGACTCATCAGCCTCCCTGGCTGTTGACTCATCAGCCTCCCTGGCTGTTGACTCATCAGCCTCCCTGGCTGGCTGACGATCTGATGAGTGCCGCACTCAACATATTTTAGGCGCCTCAAAAGCAGCGCTCAACAGACCAATGCTAGCTCATCAGCCAGGCACTCAGCACTGACTGAAGGTGTGAGCCATGGTGGTAGCAGGACTCACCTTGTACACAGAAAGCACTCGGACCATCACCGACACGTTGTGATGACGCACGTACCATTTCAACCATGGCAAATGGCACTTGCTGCTCACCATGTACACCAAGAGAACTCGGACCATCACCGACACGTAGCACAGGTCCAGCCACTAGAGCGACGCGTGTACAATCGAGTTCTCGTACTCGTTATAAGGCCTCCGCCTCGTCACGGACAGCATCAGCCTCGCCAGGGGGTTGGGCCCCTGGCGCCAGGAGTAGATGTGCGACCACGTGGTGCCGCCCCACCAGCGAAGCATGACAGCTAGTTAACATTTACACTGACTGATGGTAGCAGGACTCACCTTATAAACAGACAGCACGCGGACCATCACCGACACATAGCACAGGTCCAGCCACTTGAGCGACGCGTGCACGATCGAGTTCTCATACTCGTTATAAGCCCTCCGCCTGGTGACGGACCGCATCAGCCTCGCCTGGGGGTTGGGCCCCTGGCGCCACGAGTAAATGTGGGACCATGTGGTGCCGCCCCACCAGCGGTGGCGCGCGTACAGCAGCGCGTAAACGAAGAGGCCTATAACGGGGATGAAGATCCCCAGGTAGAACTTGGAGGTGAAGGTGTAGTTGAAGATGCACTGCGGGCCTATGGCGTCCTGTTGGTGGGGTTGGTGGGGGGGAAAGAAGGACAGGGAAAGAGGGGAGGGGGAAGGGGAGGTAGAACTTGGAGGTGAAGGTGTAGTTGAAGATGCACTGTGGACCGATGGCGTCCTGTTGGGTGGGGGTGGGGGGGGGGGGTGGGGTTTGTAAAAGAGAAGGGGGAGAGGTGAGGGGAGAGGGGAGGGGAAAAGGGGTAGAATAGGTGAGTGCTGATTTTGCGAATTCACTTGGAGGACGACCTTGGCTGAGAAGGAATAGGTGAACATGCACAGTGGGGCCGCCCAGTAGCACCGCACTGCACCTGACCGGATCGAACGCCGTGCAGTTGTAAACCTTGACGGGCATTAGCACCCAGCGGTCGGGGTAATTGAGGAATCACAGCTACACCTTACACACAGCACCGCACCACACAGCACCGCACTGCATGCATCCCATCCCATCACACATTACTGCCACCTACCACGTAAAAAACAGCAAAGTTGTAGACATTGACAGCGAGGGTCTGCACCAAGCGGTCTGGTTAGTTTGAGGATGAAGGGGGCGATCATAAAGAGCACCGCTCACACACAACCCAAGAGCACTGTACCGCACTGGATCACATGTTACCACCACCCACCGGGTCAAAAACGGCGAAGTAGTAGATCTTGACAAGATTTTGTACCTAGCAGTCCGGGCAGTTGAGGTTGAAGGATACGGTCATAACAAGCATTGCACACACAACCCAAGAGCACTGCACAGGACCGCACTGGACCAATTATTACCGCTACGTACCGGATCGAACTCCGCAAAGTTGTAGATCTTGACCAGGGTCTGCACCCAGCGGTCGGGGTGGTTGAGGTTGAAGGAGGTGATCATGACGAGCAGCTGCAGCTCCCAAACACACCCCGTCAAACTACACCACCAGAAATCACCACAATGAGCACCGCACAGCACCGCATTTCACCACGTAGCACCTACTGGTCGAACACGGCGAAGTAGTCGTCTGCATCCTGCGGTCGGGGTAGTTGAGGTTGAAGGAGGCGATCATGACGAGCACCGCACACACACAACCCAAGAGCACCACAGTGGACCAATTATTACTGCCACGTACCGGATCGAAGACCGCAAAGTTGTAGATCTTGACTAGGGTCTGCACCCAGCGGTCGGGGTAGTTGAGGTTGAAGGAGGCGATCATAACGAGCAGCTGCAGCTCGTTGAGGAAGATGTCCATGCTGCTGAAGGTGTCGGCCAGCACGTTCATCCCCACCCACGCCAGGATCACCAGGATGAGCAGGAGGGGAAACACCTGCATGCGCGTGTGTGGGGCAGGGGAGGGAGGGAGGGGGGGGGGGGAGAGGGAAGGGGTGGAGAGGGAAGGGACTGGGAAGGGAGAGAGCATAGCGCTGACGAGGAGCAGCTGGAGCTCGTTGAGGAAGATGTCAATGCTGCTGAACGTGCACATGGAGCACGTGGCACCCCATGGACGAGCACATGGAGCACGTGGCACCCCATGGACGAGCACATGGAGCACGTGGCACCCCATGGACGAGCATGTCCATGCTGCTGAAGTGAAGGTGTAGGCCAGCACGTTCATGCCCATGATGAGGATGACCAGGATGAGCAGGATGAGGAAAGGGAGCACCTGCGCTGCGCATACGAGGGCCAAGTAGAAATGGGCACGAGCGGCGCCTGGCTCGGCTCGGCTCGTTTGGGGTCGAGCCGAGCCGGCTCGCCTGTCGAACCAGCTCGGCTCGCCTCGAGCTGGGTCCTCAGGATCCCCGGCTCGGCTCGTCAGGGGGGCTTGTGTGGCCTCTTGATTGGGGCCACGGGGTTTGGGGCCTCTAGTCCGGGCCAGGGGATGGTCCACGTTGTTTAGCTGATCGTCTGCAAACCCCCCCCTTTCCTGAGCCGCGTGCCGGCTGGCTCGAAATCTTTTGTGCAGATTACGTACGACTTATGGCGCCCTTGGTTCTTGAACGCAGAATCATATACAGAGGGCAGAATCTTTTGAGAAAGTTGCATGGATCAAATGAGAGTGAGGGGGAGTGTGTTTACCCAAATAAGAAAGGGCCTTGAGAGTTAAGGTACGTACCCTTGTTAGAGTGCTGCTGCACTGAGTGCACTGCTGCAGCACTAGGAAGTAGCCGTCGACACATCCTGCGCACGTGCTGAGAGGGAAGAAGAGAAAATAAGAGGGGGTAGAGTAGAGGAGAAAGAGAGGTGGGGTAGTAGAAGGAAAGATGCACTGAGTGCACTGCAGGAGCCCTAGGAATTAATTAACCATCGACACACCCTGCGCACGTGCCTGTCCTTCCCTCTACACACGAAATGCACCCTAGGCTTCAGTCAGTAATAATACTCACGGGATGCTCTCGTCGTAGCCCTGCTGGCACTGGATCATCACGCCTTGACTAGTCGTCTGCCCCCACTGCTCGTTGTACTCGTACCCCACACACCCGTCCGCCACCAGACAGCTATATGTAGTCGGGGTGTTGTTTAGCGACTGCAGGTCCAGCCAGCTCTGGTAGGCGACGGTGAGCGTGCCGTCGGTGCACTCGAGGTTGTCGTCGTCACACGGGATGCACTCTGATGGGCTGGCTGCACGCGGGTAGAAGGAGAAGAGGCCGCCTGGACACGGCTGCATAGGCTGCCCAGCCTCGCACCTGCATTGGGGGGGGAGGGGGCAGGAGGGGGGGCATCGACAGGAGAAGAACAAGATGAGAAAGAGGCATTGAGGGGGAGAAGAGGCGTTGAGCGACTGCAGGTCCAGCCAGCTCTGGCAGGCCCCACAGTGAGCGTGCCATTGGCACACTCGAGGTTGTTGTCGTCGCACGGGATGCACTCCGATGGGCTGGCTACACGCGGGTAGAAGGAGAAGAGGCCGCCTGGACACGGCTGCATCGGTTACCCAGCCTCGCACCTGCATGGGTTACCCAGCCTCGCACCTGCATGGGTGGGTGGGAAGAAGAAGGGGGGGCGGGGGGTAAATGGAAAGGGGAGGGAAGGGAGGGGGAAGCAGAGGAGGAGGAGGAGGAGGAGGAGGAGGAGGAGAGGAGGAGGAGGAGGAGGAGGAGGAGGAGGAGGAGGAGGAGAGGAGGAGGAGGAGGAGGAGGAGGAGGAGGAGGAGGAGGAGGAGGAGGAGGAGGAGGAGGAGGAGGAGGAGGAGGAGGAGGTGGTGGTGGTGCATCCACCATTGCATGTGAAAACATGGAGGGAACTCACCAGTGCCCCGCAAGGCAGTCCTGGCATTCAAGGGGAACATTCCTGTCCCCCCTTGAGTGAGGGACGTGGCATTCAACAACTGGCCCGAGGAGTAGAAGGAGATGTTGAAGGCGGGGGAGGGGGAGGAGGAGGAGGAGGAGGACCACAGCTTGGCAGCAAACTTGGCAGCACAGCACCCACTCTTCAACTCACCAGTGGCCGACTAAGCAGTCCTGGCAGGTGAGGGACGTGGCATTCAAGAACTGGCCAGAGGAGCAGAAGGAGATGTTGAACGCGCGGGTGACAGATGGAAAAGCGTTGGCAGGGGATGAGAGGGTGACCGTGACTTCAAAGGATTGCGCCTCCTCTGGTGTAACCTGAGATAGGGAAAGGGGATGGGAGAGGATGGGAAAGGGGATGTGAGAGGATGGGAGTGTAAGGAAGGTGAGGGAAGGGAAGGAAAGGGAAGCAAGGGCAAGAGAAGAGAAAGGCGAACAGCATGAGCATGTTTGAGTACTGCTGCTGTGTTGCTTGCCTTCCTCACAGCATGCAAGCAACACAGCAGGCAGCCATGGACGTGCGTGGTGAAGACGTCTCAAAACTCCAGTGTCCGGCCTTATCTTCTCTTCAAACACAGCTCTTCTCTTCAATGCTGCACACTGCTCTCGCACCTGAATCCCAATGGACGGAATGGTGATGACCCCATTGACAGCTGTGCCCTCAGGTCCCCACTGATCCTGCTATCCGGCGACACAGCAGCCACGGACGTGCCGTCCTGCGCCACGCTCTGGTTGAGTGCGTCCAGCACGTGCACTTGCAGCCCCTCTATGTGCGCCCCCACCGCCGCCTGCACCACAAAGGTCTCCCTCTCGAGTTCACCATGCTCGAGTCCTCCTCCCTCCCGGGCCACCTGAGAGGGGGAAGAAGGCAGGGAGGGGTTATATGCTTTGGGCTCTGGTTGAGGGGGTGCAGCACGTGCAACTGCAGGCCCTCTATGTGCGCTCCGACTGCTGCTTGGACTACGAATGTTTCCCCCCTGGCGTTCACCACATTTGAATCCTCTTCTCGTCCCAGCAGCGACCTGAAGGAAAGCAGAGGGAAGGGGAGGGGGGTAGGGAGGGACCAGGATATACAGGCCAGGACATGCTCTGGTTGAGTTTGTTCACCACATGCACCTGGAGGCCCTCTATGTACAACCCCACCGCTGCCTGCACCACAAAGGTTTCCCCCCTCGCGTTCGCCATGCTTGAATCCTCCTCCCTCCCGGGCCACCTGGCAGAGAGGAGGGGATAGGAGGGAAGCAGCCAGGGAGGGGTATACATGTGAGGCTCTGGTTGAGTGTGTCCAGCACGTGCACCTGCAGGCGCTCTATGTGCGCCCCCACCGCCGCCTGCACCACAAAGGTTTTCCCTCTCGCATTGACTGCACTTGAATCCTCATCTCGCCCCGGCCACCTGAAAGAAACCGAGGGGATTGGGGGAGGAAGGGAGAGGGGGAAGGGTACATTTGAGGCTCTGGTTGAGTGCATCCAGCGACTCCAACACATGCACCTGCAGCCCCTCTATGTGCGCCCCCACCACCGCCGCCTGCACCACAAAGGTCTCCCCCCTCGCGTTCGCCATGCTCGAGTCCTCCTCCCTCCCAGGCCACCTGGGGGGAAGAAGGAGGGGGGGGGGGGAAGAGGAGGGAAGGAAGAGGCTGAGGCAGGGATGCAGCGCAAGAGACTAGCAGCCAGTGGAGCAGCAGCCAAGGGAGCAGCAGCCACGGACGAGCCGTCCTAAGCCGCGCTCCAGTTGAGAGCGCGGCCAGCACGTGCACCTGTGGGCCCTCGATTAGCGCCCTCAGCGCTGCCTGCTCTACGAACGCCTCCCCCCTGGCGTCCACCACACTTGAAAGTTGAATCCTCTTCCCCTCCTGGCCACGTGGGAGAGATTGGCGCCGGGGGAGAGACGGGGGAGAAGGGGAAGAGGGGGGATGGGGGCAGAGGGGGAGGGGGGGGCAGAGGGGGAGGGGGGCAGTGGGGGAGGGGGGGCAGAGGGGGGAGGGGGGGAGAGGGGAGAGGGGGGCAGAGGGGGGAGGGGGGAGAGGGGAGAGGGGGAGAGGGGGCAGAGGGGCAGAGGGGGCAGAGGGGGCGGTGGGGCAGAGGGAGAGAGGAGGGAGAGGGGGGAAGAGGGGGAGAGGGGGGAGTGGGGAAGCAAGCAGGGAGAGATGAACATGTGGGGCTCTGGCTGAGTGCATCCAGCACGCACACATGCAGCCCCTCTTCCCTCGCCCAGGGGGTGCACCACGGATGATTCTCCTCTCGCATCTAGCATTACTCAGGGTTTATGACACACACGCACGCACACACGCACATGCACACGCACTCACACATGCACATGCATGCACACACGCACGCGCATGCACACACACACGCACACGTGCATGCACATGCACGCAAGAGGTGGACTCACTTGAGGAAGAAGGCAGCGGGCATGGTGCCCTGGGTGTCCCCCGCCCCTCTGAACTCGCACCCTCACAGCGCGACCGCATCTGGCGGTCCGTGGTAGCCTCAAAGAAGGCCGCCGCCTGCAGGTACAGCGCCCTGTTGCCCTCAAAGCTCAGCTGCCGCACCACCAGCCGCCCCTGCTGCTGCTGCTGCTGCTGCTGCTGCTGCAGCTGGCGGCCTGCTCCTGAATTTCCACCTGAGTTTCCACCTGAGCCACTCGCTCCAGCAGTGCCTGCACCCGCTGCTCCCGCTGCCTCCCCAGCTGCCCCGTCTGCTCTGAGTGGCGAGCGCAGCACGTACATTCCAGCTCCGCCCACCACGGCATAATTCCCACTGAACTCGCTCCCCCCCACCCCCCCAGATGCTTGCTCTAGCACTGCCACCCCCCTCCCGCCACACTCGCGTTGTTCCCCTTAAAAGCACACCCTGATACATTCACTATTGCGGTTCCCACAAACGCGGCTCCCGCCCCTACTTGTGCCACATTTCCCGTGAATACCGAACCTGAGGTTAGGTCCAGCCGAGCCTGCCCATCTGCTGCCAGGCCTCCGCCCAGCTCAGCCACATTCCCCTCGAACCTACTCGCCTGCACAATGGCAACGACCCCGTCGGCCAATCGCAGCGCACCACCTGTCCCGGAGGGGTTCCGGTTCTGGGTGAAGGTACATCTGGTGAAGGTCGCATCTGCCAGCCCTGCAGCAGCACCGCTGACACTGCATTCTCAGAAAACGCCGAATCCACCACCGTGAGATTTGATTCTGCTTCGGCCGCGATCGCCCCCCCATGCAGCGCGTAGTTCCCCCTAAAGCTACTCCCCTTTATAGTCACATCCGAGACGTGAGTCGCGTACACCACGCCCCCATATAATCCGCGCGGTTACCAGAAAACACCGTCTGGTTTTCCGCTCGGATCCTCGCTCCCATTTCCACCCACACGGCACCCCCCAGGGGGCAGCATTCTGGAGACGTTGCAGGAGAGCAGGGAGAGCGTGGCTGCTCCGCTGACCCTGGCAGCGCCGCCCTCGCTGGTGGCGCGGTTGAGGAGGAGGCGAGAGGAGGAGAGGAGAGCCGTGGCATTGGCGAGGAGGGAGAGGCAGCCTCCTCCCGTGGATGCCCTGTAGGGAGGAGACAGGACAGGGGTAAGGGGAGGGGCGGGAAGGCAGGGTGGATGGCTTGACTTTTCTCAACTCTCTACGAAACACCAGGGTGGCTTGCGAGGGGGCACGGCACCAACACCCCCAACCCAACCAACAGCAGAGAGCTCCTCCCTCTCACCTGTTTGTTCCTCATACAGTCACAGTCCGCCATGGTGACTAACGAGAATTCTTGCACAAGCACTTCCCCTCCCGTGCCGGCACTGTGGTTCTCCTCTATGCGGCTGCCCACAGAGCGCATGCGCACGCTCAGCCCCGAGAAGATAGCCCCTCCCCCCATCTTGAGACTAGATGCCACCCCCCCCCATGCAGCCCAATCTGCCTCACCTACTGTTCCCTGTACAGTCACAGTCCGCCATAGTGACCCAAGTGAACTCCTGCACCAAAACACCCCCTCCCGTGCCCTGGCTGTAGTTCTCTTCTATGCGGCAGCCGCCATTTGCATGCCCACAACCCCCCTCTAACTCTTCCCCATGCGTGCATCCACATCTCCTCTCACCTGTTCCCCATGCAGTCACAGTCCGCCATGGTCACTCTAGAGAACTCCTGCACCAGAACACCCCCTCCCGTGCCCTGGCTGTGGTTCTCTTCTATGCGGCTGCCGTCAAGCGCATGCGCACGCTCAGCCCCGAGTAGATAGCGCCTCCCCCTAGCGCCGCCCGGTTGCCCTGAAAGGTGCATCTGGTGAAGGTCGCAGTGGCAGGCTTGCCCTCGGACTCAGCTCCATAGACTAATGAGGGTGGGGCGGAAAGGGATGTGGGGGGAAACGGGGGGGCGGGTGGAAATGGTATGGAGGGGATATGAAGTGCCTTGAAGGTTGGAGGATTGAGAAGAAGGGAGGGGTCAAGCCATGTCTCTCACCGCTGTGTGTGTTCCCTGCCCCTACCTGTCACGAGTGAGGAGTCTATTTTTGAGGCGCCTCAAAAATCTGCCCCTACCTGTCACGGCCCCTCCCTGCAAGCAAGCCTGTTTCGTTCCCCTTAAAGACTGCATCAGTAATGTGTAGTTGTACCTTGTACCCCCCATGGCCTCGCTGTAGATGGGACAGGTAGCAAATATAACCACCCCACCAACCCTGTCCCTGAGGGTACCTGTAACCAGCCTTACCTGGCTGGCTGGCACCACCTTTACCCGCCAAGGCCCCTCCTTGCAGCCCAGCTTTATTCGCCTAAAAGAATGCACCAGCAATGTGCAGCTTAGTGCCCTCGCTGTAGATGGCACCTCCCGGAGTCCCAGCAGAACAAGCCATGCCCCCTACCCTAACCCGAGATGACTTTTGAGTCGACTCAGAAGTCACAAGCCGTGTCTCCTACCCTACCCCGTGCTCCCTGCCCTTACCCGTCACGGCCCCTCCCTGCAGCCCAGCTTGGTTCCCCTTATGAGTCGACTCAAAAGTTCCCCTCAAACACCACATCAGCAATGTGCAGCTCAGTGCCCTGGCTGCAGATGGCACAACCCAAGTTTTGAGGCGCCTCAAAACTAATGTGCAGCTCAGTGCCCTGGCTGCAGATGGCACAACCCAACAGCGCAAGCCGTGTCTCCTACCCTACCCCCGTGCTCCCTGCCCTTACCCGTCACAGCCCCTCCCTGTAGCCCAGCTTGGTTCCCCTGGAAGACCACATCAGCAACGTGCAGCTCCATGCTCTCGCTGTAGATGGCGCCTCCCCGAGATAAGCCCGCCGTGTTGTTCTCAAATCGGCTCCCAGATATGTGCACTGGGAATACGCCCTGGGATGGGGGGGGAGAAGGGGAAAGAGAGGGAGAAGGGGAAAGAGGGGGAGAAGGGGAAAGGGGGGGGAAGGGGAAAGAGGGAAAGGGGGCAAGGGGGATGGGAAGAATGGTCACACGAGTGGGTGACATAGGCCGCTCCAGTCCATTGCTGCTGAATGTGCAACGGACCAGCCAGCATTCATTCAACGCAGACGGGGGGAAGAGGAAAGCCGAAAAGGGGCAAAGGGGGCAAGGGGCAAGGGGGCAAGCGAGACAGGGATGGAAATAATGGTCACACGAGTGCGTGGGCGACATAGGCCCACGCCATTGCTGCTGAATGACTTATGAGTCGGCTCAAAGGGATGGAAAGAATGGTCACACGAGAGGGTGGGTGACATAGGCCCACTCCACGCCATTGCTGGTGAATGTGCAGCGGAACGGACCAGCCAGTGTTCGTTGAACACATACGCAAAAGGTCCCATGGAGTCCACGGACGTGTAGCACCAAACAACGTGAAGATTCTTAGGAGGAGAATATAATAAAAGTCAGGCAGGAATCAAGAGACTCACAGGGAAGGGGGCTCACAGGGCAGGGGGCTCACAGGGTAGGAGGCTCACAGGGAAGGGGGCTCACAGGGAAGGGGGCTCACAGGGAAGGGGGACTTGCAAGACTGAAGCCACTCACGGGGTAGATGTTGATGGCGCCCCCTTGAGAGGCGAGCACGGAGTTGTTGGTGAAGGTGCAGTTGGCGATGGACAGCGGGCTATACGGCATGAAGTGCAGGGCCCCCGCCTCGCCCGCCGCCCTGTTGCCGTGGAATGTGCAGTTGGTGATGGCAGTGATGGTGCGGGACACCACTATGAGGGGGATGGGGAGTGGGGGGAAAGTGGATGGGGGAGGGGGTTGTAGGACACGAAGTACATCAAGTGCAGCGCTCCCGCTTAGCTGGCCGCCCTGTTGCCGTGGAATGTGCAGTTGGGATACCGAAGGGAGGGGGGATGGGAGCGATTTATTGCTAAGCCTCTGGCAGGAAAGATACCGTGGTTGGAGGTGGATGCCCAAGATTGCTGAATCCACTTGCAGAGACAACTTACGTAGCTGAAATCTACTGACACTACAGGAACAAGGATGTCAGTCTCAGGTTGGTGTTGCTGTTGCCGTGCTTCTGTAGTGTTTATAGATTTCAGCAACGTAAGTCGTCTCTGCGAGTGGATTTCCGCAATCTCGGGCATCCACGTCCAACCACATTATCTTTCCAAGTAGAGATTCCGCAACAGTTTGCTCGAACGTAATCAAGTTGTACCTTCCAGAACCAGCACAACTCCCCGGGTAACAGCCAGAACTATTTCTTGACCGCAAATTGTAGCCCCGGACATTAATTTCAGCTTTCGCATAAGCGGATGGAGAGTGTTATTTTACTGAGTGTTTTCACGTAGGGAATACGAGCAGTGGCAACGGCAATAACCTGACCAGCTATAATGACTTAATGAATTGGCAGCAGTACCCACACACTGCCACCGCCAAGCTTGGCATTCCCGTTAATGCCATTCTCAATAAAGGAGATTGCATGCATGGGAGGGAGAGCGTATGGGAGAGAGAGTGTATGGGAGAGAGTGTGTGGGAGAGCGAGTTTATGGAGAGAGAGTGTATGGGAGAGAGAGTGTATGGGAGAGAGAGTGTATGGGAGAGAGTGTGTGGGAGAGCGAGTTTATGGGAGAGAGAGTGTATGGGAGAGAGAGTGTATGGGAGAGAGAGTGTATGGGAGAGAGAGCTTATTGGAGAGGAGAGAGAGTGTGAATGGGGAGAGAGTGTGTATGGAAGAGAGAGTGTGTGCGCATGGGAATGAGAGGGGGTGTGAGAAGGGACTGAGTGCAACTCACTGGCGCCACCAATCTGGGCATTCTCGTAGTCGCCATTCTCAATAAAGGAGCAATTCGTTATAGTCGCTTTGCCGGAATCCAGAAACACTGCCCCCGCTTGGCCGGCCTGATGGGTGGGGATTGCATGAGTACTGGTAATGGGAAACAAGGGGTCCGTGAGCGAACACACCATCAGCGCTGCTCCTTGCCAGAGGTGCGAGGCCCAGACCGAGTCCGTGATGGTAATAGGGATTAGCGGGTCCATGTATATGAGAACATCACAGCTGCGCCCTGCGACAGGTTCGTGGCTGGCTGGCCGAGGCACTGCCAGCATGTGCTCTCAGGGGGTGCGCCATGTGCAACATCATCTCATCTGACCGTGTTGTTCTTGAAGGCCGAGTCCGTGATGGTGATGGGATCAGCGGGTCCATGTACGAAAACACCATCAGCATAGCGCCCTTCGATAGACAGGTTCGAGGCCAACGCACTGCCTCCACCGTGTTTAGGGGACTAGCTCAACCAAGGCCCACCCACCGAGTTGTTCTTGAAGACTGGAGTCCGTGATGGTGATGGGGATCAGGGGGTCATGTACGAAAACACCATCACAGCTGCGCCCTGCGAGGGTACGTGGCCGACGCACTGCCCGCGCCAGCCGGGGTGGGCGAGGCGACGTTGCCCTCAAAATGGCTGTTGTGCACTGTGATGGCTGCGCTGTACGCCACCACTCCGCTGCAAAGGACGGCACGTTGGTTACTACGTTGTTGATGAAGCGGCAGTCCAGGATTGGTGTGTTCGGGGGATGGGAGTGGGGGGAATGGGAGGTTGGGGGGAGCGGGAGTGGGGAAGAAGGGGATCCGTGGGAAAGGGGAGTTGGAGAGAAGGCGAATGGGTGAAGAGGAGGAGCAGGTTGTGCGCTGCCTGCTGGCGCCAGCCGGGGTGGTTGAGGCGACGTTGCCGTGGAAGTGGCTGCTGTGCGCTGTGATGGCCGCTCTGTAGGACACCACTCCCCTGCAAAGGACGGCAACGTTGGTCACCAACGTTGTTGATGAAACGGCAGTCAATGATCTGGTGTGTAATGAGTCGATTTTTTAGTCGTGTGTAATGAGTCGATTTTTGAGTCGACTCATTACACACGTTTGTTGGTGAAATGGCAGTCAATGATTTGGTGTGGGGGGAATGAGAGTGGGGGGGCGAGCAGAGAGCAGTGAGCAGAGAGCAGCGAGCAGAGAGCAGGGAGAAGAGAGGGGTGTGTCGTTTCCAAAAACACAAGAGCGAGAGAACAAAACAGCGTACCTCGGAAACGCACGCATGCACGCATACCCCCCTTTCCCCCCCCAAAACCCTCCCCCCCCCCCCCCCCCCCCCTCCTCCGCACACACACACACACACCTGGGAGATGCCTGGCAGCATGATGAGCTCGATGCACCCACCTTGTATGAGCGCCTCATTCTCCTCAAACACGGAGCCGGTGTCTGTGAGGGGGGCGACTGTCCCCAAAACATGAACTCACATACGCCCACCCACCGCCCCCCCCAAAACACACACACCAAAACACACCTGGGAGATGCCTGGCAGCATGATGAGCTCGAGGCACCCGCCTTGTATGAGCGCCTCATTCTCCTCAAACACCGACCCCGTGACTATAAGGGGCGCCACCGCCATCTGCACGCTGATGGCGCCCCCAGTGGAGGAGGAGGAGCAGCGGGAGAAGTGGCTGTCGCGGATGTGCATGTAGAGGGAGGCATTGAAGAGGGCGCCCCCCCCGCGGGGGAAAACTGTGAAGTCGGAGCCTTGGCTGGCGGTGCAGGCTGTGAAGGTGGTGTTGGCGATGGTGGTAGATGAGTTGAACTCGCTCAAACCCCCCCCTGACACGGCCTGGGGTGGGGATTGGGGGGAAGGGCGGGAGCATGGCGCAAGGGGAGGGGGCATTGAAGCAAGGGCGAGAGCAAGAGAGGCGATGGCCCCTGTGGGGACAGACAGTGAGGTCGGTGGTCCTTTGGTTGGCGGTGCAGGCAGTGAAGGTGGTGCTGGCGATGGTGGTAGACGAGCTGAACTCGCTCAAAGCCCCTCCTGAAACGGCCTGAGGCGCGGAGGGGGAGGGATGGGGAGGGTGCATGCGACAAGGGATGGGCATACAACAAGGAGGGGGGATTGAAGCAAGGGCGAGAGCCACGGGGAAGACAGTGAAGCCAGAGCCTTGGCTGGCGGTGCAGGCTGTGAAGGTGGTGCTGGTAATGGTGGTAGACGAGTGGAACTCACTCAAACCCCCTCCTGGCAGGCACTGCCTGGGGAACGGGGGGGAAGGGAGAGTGCATGGAATCAGGCGGGGCGGTTTTTGAGGCGCCTCAAAAGTCGTCTCAAACCCCCTCCTGGCAGGCCCTGCCTGGGGAACGGGGGAAGGGCGAGTGCATGGAATCAGGCGGGGCGGGGCGGGGCAGCACAGGCTGTGAAGGTGGTGCTGGCGATGGTGGTAGACGAGTGCAACTCGCTCAAACCCCCTCCTGACACGGCCTGGGGTGTGGGGGAGGGAGCGAGGATACATAAAACAAGGGAGGGCGCTGGGAGCAAGGGACTGAGAGAGGCCGAGACTGGGCGTTGGGGAAGACTGGGCGTGGGGGAAGACTGAGAGGCCAGTGAAGCTCGAATCTTACACCCCGTGAAACACAACCCCTCACCGTGCACCCCTCGCCTTGCATCCCGTGAAGCACGAATCTTCAATCGTCACATTCGCAGCTAAAAATGCAGCCATGCACCCCCCATACTCCCTGCCACCCCCGCCTTTACAGTGCTTGAAGCCCAATCCCTTGCTGCACACACCTTGACGCTCAACCCCTCACCGTGCACCCCTCACCGTGCACCCCTTGAAGCTCGAATCTTCAATTGTCACGTTCACTGCAGAAAACACAGCCATGGCCCCCCCAGGCCCCCCTACCACCCCCTCCTCCATCTCAGTGTAACACCCTTCGAATCTCGCCCCCTTTAAAGCCACACTGGACCCTTCCCCCACGTACATGCCCCCGCCGCTGCCCCCGCCCGCACCCTGCTGTTGCTGACGGTTAGGGCTGTAGCAACGACAGTTGTAGCAGCAGCTGTAGCGGTGGCTGTAGCACCAGCTGTAGCGGCGACTGTGGCAGTGGCTGTAGCAGCAGCTGTAGCAGCTCCTAGAACAGCTATTGCACCGCCACTGGGGCCTGTTGACGTGCAGTTAGAGAAGGACACGTGGCTGTAGGGGATTGGAGGAGAGAGGGGAGGGGAGGAGAGAGTGGGAAGGGAGAAGAAAGCAGTGCACAGAATTTTGACAAATAAAGAGGCGAGGAGGAAAATGTGCACCATGCCAAAACTCAAGCACCAGGACTTTCTTTGGCGCAGTACTCACCTAAACAATGCACTCACCAGGGCACCGCACTTACCTAAGCACCGCACTTACTTACCTAAGCACGCAATTACCTAAGCACCGCACTTACTTACCTAAGCACCGCATTGTATCCATCAATCAGCAGGCATCCTCCACTCCCTGCGGTCACCCCATTCACCACACTCAAATGCGCCACCACCAGCACCGGCTGCTGCTGCCCACACCAACTACCACCACTACCACTGCCGCCGTCGCTGCCGTTACTGCTGCTGCTGCTGCTGCTGCTGCTGTGCTGGCATGAGGCAATGATACAAGGCCCGCCATTGCAGTTAAGGATAGCAGGAGGGGAGGGGGGGGGCGGGCCTAGGATGGTGAGGGAGAGGAGGGGAGGGAGGAGGATGGGGGCGGAGGGAGGGGGAAGAGAGGTGATGGTGGTCGTGGTGGTGGTGGGGGGTGTGGTGGAGTTGGGGGGGAGGGGAGTGGTGCGAGTGTATGTGCCTGAAGCGAGTGTGATTGTAGCGTTGTCAGCAGCTCTGCAGAGAGGGGGGAAAGGGGGTTGGTAAGGGAGGGAGGGGAGGCTAAGAGAATCCTGACAAGTTGGAAAGGAGAACAGAGAGTGGCGAAACATGCTGGGGAGAGGTGGAAGGGTAAGAGCGGTAAGGGAAAATGACATGAGCGTCGACTAAAAAGCGAGTCGATTTTCTAGGAGCCTAAAAATACGTCCCGTGATGGTGAGAGAGGAGAGGGCGAGAACGGTAAGAGTAAACGCGGCGAGGATGGATATGAGAGAGGGGCAACTTTGTCAAACAAGCTGCAATTTGAAAAAAAATCTGGGCCGAAGATAGAACAATATTGGGCAGGTGATCAAAAGGGATTGGGCGGGGCGAGTAGATGGATGGATGGACTGGTTTTCGAGAATTCTCAAGAACCAACTCAAATTGGATCCTATATGGGTGAGCGACCAGAATTCTCAACATTGGAATGAACGATCGACTGGAGCTCAAATGTGAAAGGAAGGGCATGGACGGGCATGGAAGGGCATGGACGGGCATGGACGGGCATGGACAGGCATGGAAGGGCATGGAAGGGCATGGACGGGCATGGACGGGCATGGACGGGCATGGACGGGCATGGACGGGCATTTGAGTCGACTCAAAAGACGGGCGTGGACGGACGTGGACGGACGTGGACGGACGTGGTGCGTGTGAAGCAGTGGGGTGCAAAGCAGTGGGGTGAGAGGAGGAAGCAAACCTGGCAAGTGCTGCTTCCAGTGAGCCTGCACGGGTGGAGAGCGATGGGGAAGCGAAACGGCAGAACGGGTAGACAGAAAAGGATGTGGATTCGACGAACGGGGAAACGGAAAAAGTGGCAGATTCAAAGCTATTAACATGGCTCGACACAAAACGCAGGGAACTCGTTGGCAGCCGACAGCCACCGCCAGAGAAGGCCGTGGGTGGAGACAGTGGGAATGCTTGTGGGCGTGGGCCCATCACGAGCCAATGGTGTCCCTCGCCCACAAGGCTCTTACTTGACTCAACACAACACACCAGCCTGCATTGCCTTGACTTGATAATGACTTGATAACGACCATAGGGGTTGGTTTGGGGCCCGCATATGAGTCGGCTCAAGCACAATAGGGGTTGGTTTGGAACCCGCATCTGACAAATACTTGAGTCGACTCAAGCACAACACACCAGCCTTCGTTGCCTTGATCTCACACTGACAGCGACCAGAGGGGCTGGTTTGGGGCCCGCACCAAGCAGACACGGTTGCTCTTAGAGACGGCCCAGAGGCCCACTGTCAACTGCTCACTGAGTAGAGAGACTAGAGGCTACACTGCGCTAGCCGGAAAAACGTACCACAGGGGTTGTCTTGTGAGCCGCAGCATGCGGATTGGGATCCGCTGGGTTGGCATAGACTGTGGGGATGCTCGCGGGCAAGCAGCCGCTGTGCCGCGCAGCAGCGGGGCGGACGGAGGGAAGAGGGAGGAGGGGGGGGTGGGGGGGGAGGGAACAGGTAAGGAGAGACGGACTAAGAGCTGTCACGCACTCAGTAAGCGCACAGGACACCCGTATTACACACGAGCAGCACGCAAACAGCATACATACACACAATTTCAACATCCAGGGAACACCTAAGCGCCAAGGGAAGAGGAGCCAGCTGTACCGGCTTCGGTGGTGAGAGGTAGCGTACCGGCTACCATCAGTGGGCTGGTGAACGGCCATGAGGGGAGGAGAGAGTGGAGGAGAGAGTGGAGAGAGAGTGGAGGAGAGAGTGGAGGAGGGTTTGAGTCGACTCAAAGTAACGTACCGGCTACCATCAGTGGGCTGGTGAACGGCGATGAGGGAGGAGAGAGTGGAGGAGGGGCAGGAGGAGGAGGGGAGGTGGAAAGGACCGAGGAAGGCGAGGGACACGTGGCGGCGTGAGGGGAGGGACACGTGGCGTAAGGGTGGGACTCGCGGAGAGCCGGTCCATGGTATGATTCGCTTTTCCTCATGGTCGTAAACTTGGTATCCCCGTTAAAAGGAGGTACCCGAGTTGTGAAAGAACCGGAGTAACGGACGATAAACACCACGGCTACTACCTCCTGCTACGTGCTTCGTGAAGCAAGCTTCGACGCTGCCCTGCATTCTCAAATGCAAGCATATGGGTGCTGCTCGGAGGTACACCCTCAACCCTGCCGCCGCCGCTGAGCTCAAACGTGGCCGTTTGCCTATGGGTTGTAAACAAATACGATCTTGCTAGTGACGCCGGATATGGCGACGCGACGACGACTGCGACGGCGAAACGAAACCAGGAAGGCGACGAAGGCGAGGGACGACTACGAAAGCTTCGTCAAAAGAACAGCTCACTAAGGCGATATTGAGCGTCGGCCATTTCCGAGCCGATAATAATTAGGCGTCGCAAGGTCGCGTCGTAAGTAAATATCTGAATTCGTCTATCCGTGGAGACTAAATCTCTTCGCCAGTATCCATGTTGTCGTTTTTTAGTCGAATCAAACGCAGATTCGTCGGTGATTTTTGAGTCGACTCAAAAATCTCAAACGCAGATTCGTCCATCCGTGGAGACTAAATGTGTCGGCCAGTTTCCATGTTGACGTTGAACGCGCGAGCAGTGGGACCTGAGCTATCGGGAGTGCGTGTAGGGAATGCGCGTCGGGAATGGTGTCCCTATGTGCGATTAGCGGACTTCTTTAACAACAGTAAATCGCATAATTGAATCGCACAAATAATGAGCTCCCGGAAAAGCAACATGGCGAGGAGTCTAACTACGCGCTGAGGGTCGTGTCTACTGCACTGTCACTCCACTAGCCGCTGAGAGAGAGCCGATGCGGCGCGATTGCGTGTACTGTACGACCCTGACTGATAGACGGGAGCGCTACGCGTTGTGCTGTTGCTATTGCTAGGCTTCGCTATTATTTCTGAGCACTTCGAGGTTCCACCCTAATTCGTCTGAAGAGGGCGCATCTCCTCTCGAGCACAAGCAGCGGATAGAGCAGAAACGGGAACGAGGGAGTGAGGAACACTGGTCGGTCGGTGCGGTGCCGCTCGTGTGACTTGAAGTCTTCGCAGTGGTGGTTGAGATTGAGGGCTGTCCAAAAAGAGTTGTCTGCTGTACGTTTTGTACGGTTCAAGCACGGAAAACACTTCCCAGCGTGCCGCACCACACATCACCGCATGAGGGCGTGGTGCAGCCGTTCCGAAAGCCAAAAAATTCGGACAGAAATCCGGGCGGGGTTTTCGCAAACGTCCGATCACACCGACGTCAAAGGTGTACCACAAAAGGTGCTCGGACCGCGACCTGTAACTTTATTGGTTCGGACTAGCGGGTCAAGCAGCGACGCTGGCGAAATTTGCGGAGCACTGTAAGCCAAGAACAGTTTCGCAAAGCGAAAGTGTAGGAATTTGTGGGTTTTGTTGCATGATGTGACGTGCGCTGACCCTGTTGGTTTCGTGAATGCCCGCGAACTCCAGGGTTTTTCGTTGATGTTGTCCAGCAGCTTGATGCACTGTGCCTAACCTGCTCTCAGTAATCCGACGTGGGCGTCCGACCTGACCGGACGAAGTTCGGACGCCCTGACCGTCCATCTTCTGCATGTGCCTTGCGACATGTCGCGAATTTTGGCAAACGTAGTCACAGGGTAGTCCGGACGCATTTGAGCCGATGCAACCACGCCCTCAGGGACTACAGTTTTCTTGGGGTTTGGATGGATGGATGTCTGTTATGAAAGAGCCATGCATGGTTCAGCTCTGCCGTTCCTGCCGTATGTTCGATTCAAACCATGCTTGTCTATGCGTTTCGGATGCTCAACAAACACGCCCGACTTATTTAGGGCGTATTTCATCAGTCCGGATCAGGGTTCACAGGCCGCATCGAGCGATGTGGATTGGAATGGCATCCTGTCATTGCTGGGACCTGTCAAGCTTCGAAAGGCGTTGATGGGCTGATTCTGAAAGTGAGGCTACCTCTCGCTGAAACGCGAATCGCCATGACTTTCGCACCTCGAC